GAATTGCCTTGCCGTGAAAAATTTAAAACACGAAACATTAGGTTGCCATACAAAAGTACTTTGCATTAAAAATGAAGAAGAAAATTTGTCAGCACTCATATTTTGCATAAATTCATACAGAAAATAAAGGTAATTTAAATAATTACTGTATATGTTCTCCAAAGGGAGAAATGAGTACTACACACAATTTTTATGATGAAAAATATTCAAAACAGCTGGTTATCCATTCACAAAATGTAAATGGATTAAAAACAAAAATTCCGGAGTTTGTGGCTGAAATTTCAGTGCACCATTCGCAAATTTTCATGCTGCGAGAGATTCATCTGAATGACGCCATCAATTCGAATGACTTGTTTCCGCAGATGTACGATGTATATCGTTGTGATCGGTCACCAAACACTGAGAGGGACCAAGTTCATCGCAAGGAGAATGGAGGAGGAGTTTTGATCGCTGTTAACAACAAGCTGAAGTCGGTTTGCATTGGGACGGGTGACCTGTTCGGTGCGGAACAGATTTGGGTAAAAGTATCTGGACTAAAACGAAATATCATTTTGGTAGAATTATATATTCGGCCAGACTCAACACTCAAGGTATATGAAAACAATATGAATGCCTTGAGAGTAATAGCATCGAAGTTAAGTATAAATGATGTTTTAGTAGTTTCCGGTGATTTTAATTTGCCCAAATTTATTTGGTTTGTTGACGATAATGAGGACCCGGACATAGCAATTGCTATCAATGCGGCCAGTGAAAAAGAGAAGATAGTGCTGGATACTTGCTATGATCTTGGTCTTCTTCAGATAAACAAATGCTACAACCAAAATGGTCGTATGCTTGATTTAATCTGGACAAATGATGTTGAGCTGTATCAATGCACAATGAGTGACTTTCATTTATTGAATTTTGAGAAGCACCACAATGCAATCGAAATCAAATATAATGAGCCAGTCATCAAAACAGTTGAAACTAAGCAAACATATAGAGATTACATAATGTCAGACATGTGAATTACAAAAAAGGGAAAAGTGATGATCTGCCTCTTGAAATGTCTTATCTGGATATGAGGGCAGAAGACCAGTCTACGGTCGCTGGTTTCTTTGCAAAGCATTTTGCTTCAGCCTACAGCTCTTTGAAGGGAAATCTACAATTGGATAGCTCGGAGTTTGAAAATATTAGCAACATTTGTGCTTAAATATCACAGATTGAAATAACTGAGGAGCTTGTTGGACAACAAATTGACATGCTTCCGGATGATCTAGTCAGTGGTCCCGATGAAATACCAAATAAATTTATCAAGTATTGTTTGGTTTCATTGCGGGGGCCAATCACAACATTGTTAAGAGAATCTCTTGAAACATACACTGTACCACAGATTTGGAGAACGTCTTTTGTCAGACCGGTTTACAAAAACGGTGACAGAAACAACGTTCAAAATTACCGTGGTGTCGCTCTTCAGTGTATAGTGTCAAAAATTCTAGATTCGATAGTCACGAACCATCTCAATCAATATCTAAAGAACATGTTACACGAACCTCAACATGGGTTCATCAAAAATAGGTCAACGATAACGAACTTGGCAGAATTTACATCGAATACGATAATCAACATGGGAAAGGGACATCAAACAGACACCATATATTTGGACATCCACCCAGTACAAATCCGTCGAACAAGTCGCCGACAGCGATTTGACAGGTGGACCACGCGAGAAACTATTAACAAAACTACACTTGACAGTTATTGTATTGAATTTTGTACGGGATTTATTTATTATATAAATATAAAAAAAACAATGTGAAATGTGAATAAAAAAGATAAAAAATTAATGTCGTGACGAATTATGTGAAAAAATAAATATTATATTTCAATTACTCAGCGGAAAGTATGCTTGAATACGCGTATACCGCTGCAAAGCGGTACCAATATATACAAACACATAAAGGTCGACCCGTTTTAGATAACATTTCTATTTTTTACACCTAATGATGGCTCATTATTTTTGTTTTTATTTTATTAATAAAACTAAATTAAAATTAAAAAATGTAAGGTAAAGTGGGGTGAAGTGATAAGGGTTTTTGTGCACATACATAAAATTCACAATTTTTATTTTTTTGATCAGTTGAATGTCCTAATCGATAGAGAATTACCATAGCTAACACCCTATAGTCGCGAAATTTTCAAAAAAATATTTTCAAAAAAATTATGGGTACTTTTCAAAACAGTCGATTTTTGAGTCTCAGAAAAGTGGTGGGGTGAAGTGATAAATCATAAATTTTCGAACAAATGAAATAAAAGGAGCAGTGAAACTGAAATGAATGTTTATTTTATGATCAATAATAAAAAATAAATTAACAAAGAATTTAAAAAATCATTCCTCGTCTGAAGTATCAGAGTCACAATGGACACAAGTGAAGTAGTTATTTTGAATGTTGGCACATTTTAAATGACAACAACAAGTTTCACTTGTTTTTTTTTTTTTTTGTTTTATTATTTCTTTGGATGTTCACTTGACCTTGTTCAAAATTAGACTTTTATAAAGTTCTAGATGTATTTTCTGCGACTATAACATGTTCTAGAATGTTCCATGGTTTTAAACGGATTTTTCTAGAAACTTCGACTCATTATATGTTGTCATAAGACAATGTTCTAGAATATTCCAAGACTTTCGAGAATCTTCTACAATGATTTTGACTTATATTCTTAAAAATTCTAGAATGTTCCATAAGTTTCTCGAATGTTCGAGAAAGTTCTATATGGAAATTGACCTATTTTCCTAGAAATGTCTATGAATTTCCAGAATTTTCTTTAGGTTTCTCATTCTTTCGAGAACCTTCTGTCGTTATCCATATGGATTTTTTCGAGAAATTTCTACATTTTTTTCGATTTTTCAAGAATATTCCATGGTTCACGAAAACCTAAAGCCCAATTATTAATAATTTATTATGGACTATGGTTTATTATTAACACTTGATATCTACTAAATTTCCGACAAAACATGTCACCAAATTTCGAATGGAATTTATCACTTCACCCCACCGAAAATTTATCACTTCACCCCATCGACGTCATTTTGTGCGCAATGACGTGGAATCGAAACTATATGATATACTTTCAAAATTCTTTTGGTTTTAGTTAGATATTCATTAAAACTACATGTAAAACATATTTGCCTGCTTTGAGCACCGGAAATGTTCTCAAAAATCATGACTGGCAGAGAGACTGAGAAAAACTTTTTGACGATCATTTTTGGGACTGGTCCGCGAGAGCAACTAATTTGCGTGCAAACACTTCGATGGCTGTCTATAAAATGAGCTGACAGCTCAAACTATCCTGTACGGTATATGGTTCGCCTCTCAGATAACTACCCTTGAAAATATGGCGATTTATCACTTCACCCCACTTATCACTTCACCCCACTTTACCTTAAGTTTTTTTACGAATGCGATTGCGTGGTTTCATTGTTCTGCTGTTCAGCAGCAGCGGGAACATATGGAGGTTAGGTGTCCTCCTGATTCAATTTTATTGTATTATTTTTTTGTTGTTCGTTTATTTAATGCACGTTTGAAAAATTAACAAAAAACAAATGAGGAAAATTGATTTATTGTTTTATTTTATTTAAAATATTTTCATTTATAAGTTTCATCGTTGTTCCAAATTTTCTGATATTTGTATCAAATGTGGAACAAAAGAGTATCATATAGCGAACAGAAAATTTGAAACAACGATGAAACTTATAAATGAATACATCAATTTTCCTAATTTGGTTTTTGTTAATTTTTCAAACGTGCATTAAATAAAAGAACTACAAAAAAATAATACAATAAAATTGACTCAGGAGGACACCTAACCTCAATATATTCCTGCTGCTGCTGCACAGCAGAACAATAAAACCACGCAATCGCATTCGTCCACCCTGGGGGTGGAGGGGAGTTGGAGGGCTAATCCAAAAAAATTCTCTCATCATTCTGAACAACTTTGTAGAACATAATTTTTTGATCCGATGAGAAAATCGATATCAACAAAAAAAATTGGAAAAAAAGGAGTAAACGGCCAGATTTTGACGATTTTTGCCATTTTTTGTTTGGTAATCGTATCAAAACGTTATTATATCGCAAAATAAATATCCAAAATGGATTCCTCGACCCCAAAAACCTCCGCATACACATTTGGCAAAAATGCTTGCTATGACCCATAGAACCAAAATCGCGAAGTGCCTTTGATGCAAAAAAATTGACCTATCCTACTTTATATATACAGTGTGTTTCACGAAGCAAGGCCACTATGAAGGAGTGAAATTTTCGGAAAACCCTGTGGATAGTATGTTGATGGTGAAAATTTCGCTTGATTTTTTCAGTTTTGTATGGTATTTCGGAATTTTAATAATCAACTTCGCAGCCAAATAATCGGCGCCGGGTCGGCCCAAATCAAAATGAAATTATCCAAAAACTATTCTTTCTTGTAAAGGCGGCCCCGAAGAACACGTATGAGTAAAAAAAGCAGCATAAATTTATTTTAATCTCGAAATATCAAGGAAAAATCGACTGTTCGGCCTCGGTTCATAATAAAATAATGATGAAATGTTCGGAAATTTCTTTTATCTTGTAGGAGCAGATTCGAAAAATAGATAGGAGCCAAAAAATGTTTTTTCGTGTCGCAATTTCGAAAAAAATGAATAAGAAAAAGAAATTGTTCATGACCTCTACACTTTGCATTCTAACCGACCCTTAAAACGGTCTATCTTGTAGTGAAAGATCCCTAAAACACATTGCGAACATAAAAGGATAAATATTCGAACTTATTTTTGATTTTATTTTGAACGATTTGGAGATATACTCATTTTTTTGGGGGTGAAATCAATCCACCCTCGCCGCCTCGCTCCTCATAATAACATCAATTCTTAAGTATTTTTGCATGGCAAATCCAAGTTTTCTTTCTAGTTTTTCAACTAGAAGTAGCTTGGTCAAATTCAGTGAAATTTTTTATGCATAAAACTTATTTACCTTTCGGATATTGTAAGTGGGAAATATCGATAGAGATCCTGATCAGCTTCAGTTAGTTTAATTCCTTTGGTATCTTCTTCGTCAAATGAACCAATGTCAAAAGCATCAGCTGCATTTACTTCACCTCTGGGAGGAATCAATGGCGGTGTATATTTCTGAATGTAGACTTGATGCCAATCAATACCAGCAAAAAATGGATGTTCTTTGATTTCTTCAGCACCACGTCCTCGACATCCTAATCGCTTGTCGACATCACGTATTAATAAGCCTTCCAGAAGATTTTTTAGTTCTTTACTGAACGAATCAGGGAGCTCAACATTCTATTTGTTCAATTTAAAATGAAGTATGCTTTAATATATGCGAAAATATAAACTAAGACTTTTATTTTGAGTAAAATTATTCTCGTTCAAATTGTATATTTTCAGCAGCTCAATGTATACTCTCATAAGGAGAGTTTACGTATATTTTTATATGTGCATGAAAAACTTCGATATCCATTTATTTTGCAGAGAGATGCACCACAAAGTGAAAGTTCCAAATCGTTCATAAAATGTGTTTGTAAATATACTCTGAATTTTTGGGTTGATTTTACAAAATCGTTCGCTACAAAATTCATTTGTTTGAAAAAAAATTCGGACCATCATCTATCAGATTGTCCATGAGCTTTTGTTTCCAACTGGATATGAGTTTCGATAGTTGACTTAACAATTGTGTAGAAATTATTTATTTCTAATTCCAATGAATTTGTAATACTATAATATTGCAGTGTGTCCATAACATATAGAAATAGCACTAAATAGTGTCGATATCTATACTATATCGGTGCACTATATATGTAAGATATTCCGCAAGACACCGTAGCTCACGATCGAAGTGAGTGCGGACGGCAAACATGTTGACGCATACACACAGTTCTTTCTACTGCCGCACGGCAATTTGTGATTTTTTCCGTCTACACTGACTTCGATCGTGAGATACGGTGCCGTGTGGCAATATCGTTGATATATAGTGGACCGATATAGTATAGATATCGACACTATTTAGTGATATTTCTATATATTATGGACACACTGTAATATTGTGCCCAATAATTATATGAAACGTAGTATTTATAATAATAATAACTGCACCGAACAGCGTTCCTTCGCCTTGGTGGTTTATTGAATATATTTTAAATAAATACAAAATAATTATATTCTTACATCTAGTAGTTTTGAAGGAGATTAATAATTTTCTCAGTATGTTTTCTATTCAATTCTATCTATTTTGTTTTAAATATTTTTCAATTCTCAGTTTGACTGTTGATAAATTTACTTCTAAATCAATTAAAGTAGTATCACTGTTTGGTATTTTTTTTTCGTATAATAATCATTGAATGTAGTAAGCATGTAATTAATTGGTTCATACTTCGTGTAATCGCTTCTTCTAATCGGTATATCAAAAAGCGGCGTTGCACGGGTATTATGCGCTGAATCATAATAATTTAAACTGTTTGATATATGGCTCGACTTCATATCTCCATTAATAATTTTGAATATAAAAGACACCTGCGCCATCTCGCGTCTCTCCTCAAGCGTAATCATTTGTAGAAACAGGAGTCTATGCTCATATTTAGGAAGTTTATATCTGTCCCAGTTCATTCTCCTTAGCGCAAAAAGTAAAAATTGTTTTTGTACTGACTCTATTTTTTTGCACATATTGTCGTAGTGTGGATTCCATATTTCTGATCCATATTCTATAATTGGTAATACAAATGTAAAATAAAGGCGTTTAATTGTCCATGGGTCAATAAAATCCTTGCTGTAGAACTTTAGCCAAGCCAATCTTGATTTTGCTTTAGCCATGACATGCTCAATGTGTGATTTGAAATTTATTTGCACATCAAGCAACACTCCCAAGTCCCTTATTACAAAGACTCTTTCTATTTGAACGCCGCCTATGTTGTAATTGTATTCATATTGCAGTGATCCCCGATGATATGATATGATCTTTGTTTTGTTTACATTTAACTTCAATAAATTGCGTCCATAATAATCTGCTACACGATCCAAGTCATTCTGTAGATTAATGCAATCATCTGTTGAGGAGATACATTTTGAAATTTTTGTATCATCAGCGAATGAAAGTATACAAGAATCGCTAACGACGAATGGTAGATCAATAATAAACATGATGAACAAAGTAGTGCCAATTGGATATCCTTGACCCGTCCCAGATGTAACTTTGATTGGGTCAGATTTGGTATCTGCTATCTTTACAATTTGTCTGCGACCAGACAAGTAAGATTCGATCCATTTTAACAGCTGTTCATTCAGTCCCATGATTTCTAGTTTTTGAATAAGCAATTTTAAGTTGACCGAATCAAAAGCCTTGGCTATGTCCAAATAGATGGCGTATGTTTGATGTCCTCTCCCCATGTTATTAATTGTTTTTGAAGTAAATTCAACTAAATTTGTTATCGTTGACCTGTTCTTTATGAATCCATGTTGACTTTCGTGGATTATGTTTTTCAAATATAGATTGAGATGGTTTGTGACGATCGAATCGAGAATTTTTAATAAAATACACTGTAAAGCAACACCTCGGTAATTTTGAACGTTGTTTCTATCGCCGTTTTTGTAGACTGGTCTGACAAATGACGTTCTCCATATCTGCGGGACCGAGGCAGTTTCAAGTGATTCCTTTAACAGTGTTGAGATTGGCCCCTGCAATGAAACCAAACAATGCTTGATAAATTTGTTTGGAATTTCATCAGGACCACAGACAAGATCATCTGGCAGCATGCTTATATGTTGACCTACAAGCTCCTCGGTTATTTCGATCATTGATATTTCAGCACAAATATCACGTATTTTTTCTATTTCCGAGCTGTCATATCGCAGATCACCTTCTAAAGAGCTGTAAGCGTTGCCAAAGTGTTTTGCAAAAAAACTAGCAATTGTTAATTGATCGCTTGCTTTTTCATTTAAATAAGTCATCTCATGTGGTAGATCTTCACTTTTCCCTTTTTTGAAATTCACGTGCTTGAAAAATTTCTTTGGGTCATCATCTATCTGTTTCTCCATCTCTATTCTGTAATCTCTGAAAGCTGAGCGTGCACAACGTTTATATTTCCTTCTTATTTCTTTGTAATGTTCAATTGATTCAACTGTGTTGAGCCTTTTTTTATTTTGATGTTCTTTGCTGACCATGTTTTTCAACTCAACCAATGACTTGGTAAACCACATCGGTTGTTTCCTGTTGATTTTTGTCTTTAACTGTACATGTGTTACAATTGTTGACTTAATAATTGTATAAAAATTATCTAGTTTCAATTGTAATGAACTTGTATCAAAAACACTATGCCAATCTATATCAAGAAGCGACTCATTTATTCGCTTATAGTCTGCATTTATAAAGTCGCGATATGTTTGTCTTGTTTCAATGGTTTTGACGACCGGCTCATTATATCTGATTTCAATTGCATTGTGGTGCTTTTCAAAATTCAATAAATGATAGTCACTTATTGTGCATTGAAACAACTCAACATCATTTGTCCAGATCATATCAAGCATACGACCATTTTGGTTGTAATTCTTGTTAATCTGGTGAAGTCCCAGTTCATAGCAAGTATCCAGCAATATCTTCTCTTTTTCACTGGCTGCATTGATAGCAATTGCAATGTCTGGGTCCTCGTTCTCGTCAACAAACCAAATCAATTTGGGCAGATTGAAGTCACCAGATACTATTAAAACATCTTTTTCACTCAACTTTGAAGCTAGTTCTTTCAAAGCATACATGTTGTTTTCATATACTTTGAGAGTTGAGTCTGGTCTGATGTACAATTCAACCAAAGAGATGTTCCTTCTCATGCTGGTAACCTTTACCCAAATTTGTTCTGCTCCGAAATGGTCACCCGTTCCGATGCAAACTGACTTTAGTTTGTTGTTGACAGCTATCAATACTCCGCCGCCTCTCTCCTTTGGATGTAGTTGGTCTCTCTCTGTATTCGTTGAACGGTCACATCGATGAACACTGTACATTGGTGGAAAAATATCGTTTGTATTGATAGCGTTGTCCAAATGTGTTTCGCAATGCATATAAATTGTTGACAGTTGAACAATTGATGATTGTTTGGCCATTACATCAGCAATAAATTCGGGAATTTTCGAACGTAGGCCATTCACATTTTGTGAATGGATGGTGAGCTGCATAGTCAATTTTTCTGGGAGACCACTCGCCTTAGTTTTCAAAGAAAAATTGGCAGCATCTTTTGAATCGATGTTTAATTGAAGTGCCTGGTCTGCCAACGATGTGCCGGCGGACGAACACCTCTCCGAAATCTTTGAAAATTTGCATATCGTCGCTCATAGTCATCAAAGCAACTACGGCAGTCACAATTTGCATAATGTGATTTATTGATTGGTCGATTTTCTGCAAAATTCTGCATGGAATTGTGGTTATTTCTCTGACGGTCGATGTTCTGGTGTCTTACTGTGACCCAGTTTCTTTGTTGGAACGATCGACTTGCCTCAAAATTTTCAGATGGTGCCATTGATTGATGTTGGTTTTGCTGAATGTTGTGACGTGTATGTGTTTTCGGCTGGTTTTGATGATGAAATAGTTGTTTTTGACGTGTGGCATCATTTGTGGGAGCGGTTGGTGGATGATTGTCGTGTTTATTTTGACTATTCGATGTGTTTGGGTCTGTTTGTGGCTGACGAGATGATGATGGAACCGGATTGACGTTGATATTAATTTTGTTTTGCTCTTTGTTTGCTTTCTTCTTCTTCTTATTTCGACGCGATCGTTGGTTTCTAAGTCTTTTCTTTTCTTTTTCACGTTCATCATTCGTTCTTACCTGAACACTTGCACCAATAGTTGTTGAATTATCGATCAAGTGTCATCACAAAGTGTATTATGTGCAATTTAGGAGTAATCACATCTGTTCATTGAAATTCAATTATGGATTAATTGAAAATTTAAATGAGTTCATATTTTAAAGACAAGTAATAAATATAATAAATTAGAATTGATAAAAAATAATTTTCAATATAAATACAATAAATGTGTTGTAAATACTATTTTCATGAATTTACAAAAAATAGATATTTCACTTTATGCTATAAGTAACAGGGCTACTTTGGAGTAACGCTATAAGTAAAAGTGATGTACGCGTAGTCGAGAAGAAGAAGAAGACATAAAACTACGTCTGTGCACCGCTTATGAAGCGACAGTAATGTTTCTCAATTAAAAATACAGTATGTTTCATTATAGAGAGAGGTTGATTTAACTACCACAAATTTCAAATATCCTAAAAATGTTTTTGGTGTTGCCATATGAGACTC